TCATTAAATGTCAGCCATGTTTTACCACTGAAAGGTTCACTTCCCTGTGACACTGAGCTGGTCCTGCCCCCAAATCTGGCGCAGTCCAGCCTGCAGTGGGCACAAAGGTCAGTGCTCAGTGCCCCTGTCCCTTCCCACTGGGCCAGAGCTGAGGAGGGGAATTAGTCACAAAGGACACCTCAGCTGCACATTGACCTCCTGGACTTACGATCTGAACAACAGGTGCCGCCAGCGTGTGACAAGTCCAGAGGTGCTCCTGCCACCCACCTGCCTGGGTGCACTGACACTGGGAGTGTCTGTGCCATTTGAGCATGTCCGAGAGTATCTGCCAGGATGTGGACAGATTGAGGGAAGTGTGCAAATATCTGAACTGTCTGTGGGCACGAAGCTCAGGCCAGGAGCTTCAGGATCGGCATAGCCTCCCAAGATGCCATAGATGTGACACCATTAATGAACTGTTTACTGCCCAGTCTGTGGGTGTGTTTTGGGTCTGTGTGTAGATGGATTTGTGTTGGGAGTACAGAGAGAATGAGAGCCCTGTGCCCATCTTAGCAAGTGCAAGCTGCTGAAGGGTAGAGCAGGCTCTGCCTTCCAGCCAGGCCTGGTCCTGTGAGTCAAGGGACGGCCACATTAGTTAGCCTGCGTGATCTTGGGCAAGTCCCGACCCTCTCTGAGCCCTAGTCTCCTTGTCTGCGCAGCAGACAGACCTATGGCTTGGTGAGGCGCTGAGGCTAATAGTTCGGCGTTCCCTACAGCCTCCCCTCCTGTCTGCCACACAGGTCAAACCAGGGGTCATTCCAGAGGTCAGCATCAGGAGCAGATGGGCCAGGCTCAGCCAGGGGCAGGCAAGTCACACAGACACGAGTCCCTACATATGCTTCACACCAGCCCTCCTCCCGTGGCAGAGCTAAAGGGGGCTAGCTCCTGTTGTCCTAGGATGGGTCTGGGCAGGATACTAGGAGGAACTTCCAGCATGGAGGGGTGTGCTGGACAAGGGCTTCTGGCTGGCAGGGCTGAATCAGGGCTGCCCAGCCCTGCCTGGTGGCAGGGGCATGATCCCAGGGGCTCATGTACCAATCCTCACCTGGACACAAGCACAGGCAGACAGAGCTGGCCCAACCCCAGAGGACCAGTTTCAGCCCCAGCCGGCCAAGCCCCCTCCTCCTCCCCGCCATCGTGGCCTACTCCCGGGACCTGGGGAGCAGTCCACTGAGAGGGCTCCCACCAAGGCCCATGCTGGACTGGGAGGAGGAGCACAGGCACTCCCAGCTGCATGGGTCCGCACATCTGGGCTCTCCATTCAGCTCGGCACCACCCCGCTGGGTCTCTCTGCCTGTAGCTTCTGACCTCCCTGGGCTCAGTGGCCCATTGCCTCACAGGAGAGAGAAAGCAGGCCCCTCCAGACTCTCCACACAGATGGAAAGGGAGTTGGAGGAGCCGGGGCCACGTGACCCAGCCAGCCCATTCTAGCATGCCCAGGGCCGAGCACCTTGCACCCGACGCAGCCTGGAATCTTGGATGCCCACCGTGTCCTTCACCTCTGGGGCTAAGGAATACACCAGAACAGAAGAAAGTGGGTACGGTTGGCCTCTACCTTCCCCGGTGCCCAAATCCTTCAGTGACCTTGCAACTGCCTGCCTTCCCTGCTCACTCCAGCACCTGTCTGATCTCAGAAAGAGATCTGAAGTGGATTTTCTTTGCAGGGTCAGTGACTGGTAAGGGTCTCATCTCTCCAGGCTGTCTGGTACCACCCTGGTTGTTTGAAGACCTGGTTCCCAACCTACCGCTGGTGGGCTGTGCACTTAGGTAGATCTCTACCCCTTTGAGCCTTAGGTTTCTTACCTTTAAAATGGAATTAATCATGGCTACTTCACAGGAGTCTGATGATTTGCATTTCAACAGAAAACAAAGTCTTAAGTCAAAAGAATGAATCTCTAATAGAGGGATTTCAAGGTTCAGCCATGGATAAAGAATTCTGAGAGCGAGGCCAGGCCACTTTCTCAGGTCTCCGATTTCACACTGTGGGGTTAGTTACTTCTCCCTGAGAGGATGGCTGCCTGCCAAATGCCCTATTTCTATGTCGGAGGTACCTCCTGCCTTCAGACTATGCTGTCAGGAAAGGAAGGGCACAGTGCTTGGGACGATTTCACACTGTGGGGTTAGTTACTTCTCCCTGAGAGGATGGCTGCCTGCCAAATGCCCTATTTCTACGTCGGAGGTACCTCCTGCCTTCAGACTATGCTGTCAGGAAAGGAAGGGCACAGTGCTTGGGAAGAAGCGAGAGAGATTACCGAGCCCCCTCCATGGACCAGCTGCTTTGTATATATCTTATTTACTTTTCACCACAACTCTGAGAAACTGGTATTCTACTCCCATTTTACAGAGGAGAAAATTGAGGCACTGAGATGTTAGCCCTCTGGCCATGGGTCGTAGGAGTACGAATAAACGACATTATTTAGACCTAGGACGTCTTGGCTTCGAAGTCCTAGTATCCAGAAGACAAAGCCCCCTGATCCTGCCATCCAGGCTGTGGCTCCCAGAGTGGGCCTGGGGGACGTCTTAGCCACGAGAAGGCCCGGAGGCTTCTCCTGGACAGCCGACAGCCCCCAGAGCACTCTGTGGTCTCTGCTCACCAGCCCGGCCTCACCCCCCCTGTTCCTTCCAGTTGCCCACACAGCTGGGGGGCTACAAGGGCTGCTATTCTGAGCTGAGGAACCAGAGGCGAGACAATCAGTCCCTGCTGCCGTGGTTCGGGGAGGGCCCAGCCATGAGCCCAGCCCCTGCCCCAGGGAATGTTATCAGTGGGTCCAGAGGGCAAGGTAAGGAGCATGGGAGGAGGGGGGACAAAGGCCTTGGGCTCAGAGAGGCCTTTGCCCTTCTCCCACCAACCCCTGCCCTGGGCCCTGCGAGGGGGAGGCTGCTGAAGCCCAGAGGTGCTGGGGAGGGGTTGTGTGAACCCCGCCGTGTCCCCCTGCCCCCCACACACGCCTCTGCCCAGTGGTCTTCAGAGTTCTCGAGTCTGAGGAAGCCCATCACCCGCCTGGACCACCCTACCCCCTGCTCCCCACTGCTTGCTGGGCTTGGGGGACAGGGGAGGAAGGGCCTGAAAATTCAAGTGTGAAGGGCTGAGATGGGCCCTGAGGCCCCTGGCCTGTCCCCAGGAGTTCTCGAGTCTGAGGAAGCCCATCACCCGCCTGGACCACCCTACCCCCTGCTCCCCACTGCTTGCTGGGCTTGGGGGACAGGGGAGGGAGGGCCTGAAAATTCAAGTGTGAAGGGCTGAGATGGGCCCTGAGGCCCCTGGCCTGTCCCCACCTCACTAGCTTCTCCCTGGGGCGCCAGTCTGCTGGAAGGAATGGGGGCTCCCCAGTGCACCTCCAGTTCCTGAGGCTGTCTGAGCTGCAGGGGTGGTAGGAGAGGGGTGTGGGCACAGTCTCTCAGGATTTCCCAATGCTCCCGGCAGCTGGCTGCTTGTGGCCACTCTGCCTCAGGCCCTGGTCTTGACTGGTCAGCAGATGACCTTTGCCCAGCTCTCTGGGCCCTCAGTGCCCACTGCCCCGGGGACAATATAAAACAGGTCAGAACCCTCTTGCCTGCCTGCTCTGTTCGTCCCTAGAAGCAGCTGCTCCAGGTAATGGTCCTGGGGGTGGACGGGTAGGGGAGAGTGTGGAAAGGGGCACAGGATGCCCCCTGCCTGCCCAGCCAGCCAGCAAGCCTGGAGAAGAGCTTGCTGGAACCAAGGACGCCCTAGGGCTTGATGGGTGGCCCCCACCCCCAGTTGTATATCGGGGGAAATGGAGGCCCAAGAAGGGAGGTCACTTGCCCAAAGCTACAGAGAAGGTAGTGGCAGAGCTGGGGCTGGCACCAGCTTCGAGTCTGCACACTTCCCCTCAGCCTGCGTGCTTAGGGCTGGAAGAACCTTAGACACCCCTGTCCCCTGCAACGGGTTTTGTTTTGTTTTGTTTTGCGGGTGGCTTTATGGGGATCCACACCCTTGACCTTGGTGTTACAACACCGCACTCTAACTAAGTGAGTGAACCGGCCAGCATTTCCCCCAAACAGGAAAGCTGAGGCCCGGGGGAGGAGCAGAATCCTGATTCCCCTTCAGGCAGGATTTCTGCTCCATCCCTCCCTCTGGGCCTGGGCATCCAGTCCCCTGTCTGAGAACCCATATTTGCATGGGAGCATGCCCCTTCTCCACTCCCTCAGGGAGGGGTCCAGAGGTGGGGGGTGGGGTGCCCCTCACAGGACACTTCCCCGCAGGAACAGAGGTGTCATGCAGCCCCGGGTGCTCTTCGTTGCTGCCCTCCTCGTACTCCTGGCCTCTGCCCGTAAGCACTTTGTGGGGACTGGGCTGGGAGCAGGGCGGGAGGTGGCTTAGGGATCCTGGGCCCTGATGGGTGTGACCAGGCAGAAGCGAAGGGCTCTCCCAGAGGCTGATCCACCCCGGCTCAGCCCTGCTCTGTCTGCAGGAGCTGTGGAGACCGAGGAAGCCTCCCTTCTCAGTGTCATGCAGGGCTACGTGCAGCACGCCAGCAAGACCGCCAAGGATGCGCTGACCAGCATGCGGGAGTCCCAGGTGGCCCAGCAGGCCAGGTACGCCCAGAGGCCTCCTCCCCCGTCCTCCACGCCAGCGACCTCAGCTCCCCTCTGTCCCTGCCCTGGTGGGAGCCCTGGCAACAAGACCGTGGCCCTCCCAGCCTACCCAGGGCCTGCACCTCTCTGAGCTCTCACAGGGCCGTGGTCGTGCTGCTGTGGGTGACATCACAGAAATGGGGCTCCATTCCTCTTGTGTCCCTCCTTTCTCCCCAGCACAGCCCTAAGGCAGCCACTTTAGCCCTCGCTTCTGTTTTCCTTTTCTGATAGTCTGCCTAGAGGTTTGCCCCGGGAGGCCCTACCCGACCCTATTTCAGCCCAGGGCGCAGGGTTGTGTTTCTGCCTTGTTCCAAGACCTGCGCCCTGTGTGAGCATAAGTCTGTTCCTCTCCCATCCTGCCCTGGCCATTAGTCCTCTCCCCTAACCTCTTCCCCACCTCCATTCCGCTGTCATTGGCTGGCTTTTACATAGCAGAGGTGTTCACAAAGGTTTTTAGTCCTCAGACTGTAGAGTAGGTATTATTTTTCCCACTTTGCAGATGAGAAAATTGAGGCTCGGAGAGGTTAGGTGACTTGTCCCAGGTCTCACAGCTAATTACTCCTCCAGGGATTTTCCAAATGAGACACTATGTCCCTCTGGCCCATCCCACTCAGAGCCACCAGGTTGTACAAGTTCAGGGGGCACCATTTGCACAGAATACGACGACAGCCCTGCCCTCGCCCATCTCCCCACTCAATCTGTTTGTGCCTCAGACCCTTGGGAGCACAAAAGTCTGACCCAGCCTGGAGAAATGTGAATTTAGACTTGTGCTGGGATCCCTTCACCACCTTCGGCATCTCTTCTGCCTAGGTGGCAGCCGTAGGTGGTTCTTGCCTGACACAAAAGTCTGACCCAGCCTGGAGAAATGTGAATTTAGACTTGTGCTGGGGTCCCTTCACCACCTTCGGCATCTCTTCTGCCTAGGTGGCAGCCGTAGGTGGTTCTTGCCTGAGGTCTCAGGGCCATTGCTGGGTGAGGTTGGGAGGGTGGCAGGGGGAGCCAGCGGGGAAAAAGGAGTGGGCCTCGCGGTCACCACTGCCTACACACAAGCTTCTACATCCACCTGTCACCTCCTCTTACTGATTTAATCCCCAGGGGCTGGGTGACCGACGGCTTCAGCTCCCTGAAAGACTACTGGACCACCGTTAAGGACAAGCTCTCCGGGCTCTGGGATTTGAACCGTGAACCCAAACTAACTTAGGCCTCCTGAGGCATCGACAGCCCGAGTCCACCTGTCCATTCATCCTGCCAGATCCTTGGGCCCTGCAGCCTCCAGGGCTGCCCCCACAAGTCACCGGAAAGGGACAGTGTTCTCATTGCCCTCCCACCCCGCCCCAGACTCAGCCATCTCCAGGCAGGCTGTCCTCCCAATAAAGCTGGACGAGAAGCTGCCGTGAGTGGGCCATCCCACGCGTGCCATGAATGTTTGGGCATGGGGGTGGGTCGGGCTGTTCTGTGGGTGGGCACTGGACTGGCTCCAACTCAACCAGGCCTGGGGGCCAGTGCCCATCCCACCTCTTAGTAGCTGGGTGGTCTCTGGGCCTGAGTTTCTTCATCTGTAAGGCAGGAATAACCCTACTTAGCCTGCCTGCCTTGACAGGTTGATGTGGAAGTTCAGTAGGGATACTGGGGTTGACAATAACTTGATGAATTATCAAGGGCCGCTCAACATGACTTGAGTGTGTGCTCTTTGCCAGGCACTTGCCTAGCACTTTTATGTCATCATAGAGTTGAGATTGTGTGTGTCCACCAAAATTGTGGAGCTGACTTGTGCTAGCGGGGCCACCTGGCCCTCTCAAGCACACTTGAGGGAAGGAGGCCACATGAGTAGCGGTTGGAGTAAGAGACAGCTTGGCTGCACTGCTTTATATCAGCCTGTTTCTTATCTGTAAAGGGGGTGCAGTAACACCACCTCCACTGCAGGTGTGTTGTGAGAATGAAATGAGACAATGTTTAAAAGCATTTGGCACAGTATCTGCATGTCAAAGGTGCCTGGTGAATGGTTGCCATTGTTAGAACTGAGCTGATTGGCCTCTTAGGACCAGGATAGGAGTGAGAACCATGTGTCCTGGGAACCAAGAAGGAACACAAGGTCACCCCAACAGAGGCTGCTTCCCTTGTGTCCCCACCACCCAACGGATGCTCAGGTCAGAGAGTTCCAGAACCATAGATGACTTGAGCAGACACACCCCCCTTCAACTGTTCAGATGAAAAGCAGGCTCAGAGAAGTGAAGGCACTTGCCCAGTGTCACAGAGCCAGCAAATAGCAGGGCCAGACCTTGGGCCCAGTTCAGCTGCTCAGTTGGCCCAGAAGAAAGCTTTGTTACTCCTATGCCAGGTGTAGTGGGGGCTCCTTTACAGATCTTGATAGCATCAGAACATCCAGCTCTACTTGGAGCTGCTTCTCTCTAGAAATCTATGTGGGCTTCTCCTCCAACCCAACTAAAGCCAGGGATCTCAGCACTCATACCTGGAAAATGTTCTCACCCAAATCTGGCTTGACACCTACCGTTGTAGCTCTGGGTGGTTAGGAACAAAGATGCCCACTCCCTGATCCAAGGGGTCATTAAGATACACTGGAGATAAAGGGCATATTACCCAGAGACCTGCACATGGGGCAAAATGCCCTGCAGGAAGAGGGCAGGGAAAGCTCCGAAGATGCACGGGCCAGATCTGTGAAACCACCTGCAGGCACATGGGGATGTACAGACCTGACTGTGGAGAGGGGCCGGCTGTGAGCAGGGATGTCCATGTGAGAATGTGCATGCCTGTGTGTACACCCACGTGAGCTTAAGCACCTGGCTGCACACTTTTATTTTTTTTAATAATCATGGATGCACAGGGACAGATGGGTCTAAAAAGGACAATCAAGACCATCCTGACTTTCACTCGGCAAGTGACTTCACATCTGCAAGCTTCAGCCTTCTCATCTGTCACATGGATCTAATGGCAATCTATCCAGGATTTTAAGAAGGATGCAGTGAGATGGTGGATATGAAAGCACCTTGAGAATAAAAATGTGCTAATTACCTGCAAGAGGTGGTGGTTATTTTTCCGACTTGGGCCAGAGCTGGCAGAAAGAGGGGAGGCAGTGCGTGGAGCCCCTGGGTAGAACGGCTGGCTTCCTGAGGAAACAGCCCGGTTTCTGGGTAGGTGGGTGTAGTAGGAGAGGGATACTTGTGAAGAAGAAAGCGAAGTGGTTGTTTAAGCCTTTTTTGGGTTAATAAAGGAGAAAGGAGCAAGCTCCAAGCACTTCATCTGCACCTGGCCAAATCCTTCCAGCTCCTTGAGGCCCACCCTACCCTCACTGGAGCCAGAGGGCTGGAAGAGGCCCATGTCCCCTGCTCTGTAGACACCTACTTCCACGTGGCCAGCTCCCACCTGGGAACACCTCTGGGGACAGGGAGCCCACTTCTCCCAGCAAAGCCAAACCTGTTTCCTGACCCTCCCCACCCTGGGCTGCAGCCCTTATTGTTTGAGGCACTTTCGGGGCACTTGGCATTGGATGGTCCGGCGCTTTGCCTGGCCCTCTGCTACTTCCTTTCTGTTTGAGTCTTGGTGAGGACCCTACGCCCTCACTCCTCACCAGCCAGGCGCCCAGCAGGTCCTCCAGCATCGATGAAGGCCCTCAAGAAACCCACTCTGGCCTCGGAGCTGCTGAGGTCCGGCTGAACGTCCCCTGCTCCGGGGCCAAAGGCTCCCACCCAGGCTCCCCTGGAGGTCCCTTCCACTGCTCCACACCCCCCTTCCTTCTCCCCAAAGAAAGAAGCCGCTGCCCACCTTGGAAACGTTTATTCTAAGCCACGGAACGCTGGAAAAGGGCGGCGGCGATGGCGGGAGCTCACTGGGTGTTCAGCTTCTTGGTGGCCTCCTCGAAGGCGGCTATGAGGCTGACTTTGAGGCTCTCCAGCACGGGCATTAGGCCCTGGCGGAGGTCGTCGAGCGCGGGCTTGGCCTTCTCGCGGAGCGAGCTCAGGTGCTCGCTGGCCTTGGCGTGGTAGTCGGCCAGGCTGCCGGGGCCTGTCTCCTTGAGCGCCTCGAGGTGCTTGGCCAGGCGCTGGCGCAGCTCGTCGCTGTAGGGCGCCAGCTGCGTGCGCAGCGTGTCCACGTGGGCGCGCGCGCGGTCGCGCATCTCCTCGCCCAGCGGGCCCAGCTTCTCCTGCAGCTCCTGCAGCTTCTGGCGCGCGCCCTCGCGGAGCTCCGCGCTCAGCGGCTCCACCTTCTGGCGGTAGAGCTCCATCTCCTCCTGCCACTTCTTGTGGAATTCGTCCAGGTACGGCTGCACCTTCTTCTTCACCTCCTCCAGATCCTTGTTCATCGCCTGCCTCAGCCCCGCTGTGTCCTTTTCCAAGCTGTCCCAGAACTCCTGGGTCACCGGGCCGAGCTGTTCGCGCACCTTGGTGAAGGTTGAGCTCAGGCTATCCCAGTTGTCCAGGAGCTTCAGGCTGGAGCAGGAGAGAGAGGCTGAGGACTGTTCTCCCAGGCACCCTGGACTGCCCCGGAGCTGCAGTCCCAGCAGCCCAGCTTACCTGGGGTGAGCCCTGCACATCACCTGTCCCTGACTGCGCAGGAGAGCTCAGGCTATCCCAGTTGTCCAGGAGCTTCAGGCTGGAGCAGGAGAGAGAGAGGCTGAGGACTGTTCTCCCAGGCACCCTGGACTGCCCCGGAGCTGCGGTCCCAGCAGCCCAGCTTACCTGGGGTGAGCCCTGCACATCACCTGTCCCTGACTGCGCAGGAGCGGTGGCCCTAGCCTTTCCCATACCAATACCCCTGCCTCCACCACCACCATGGCCCTTTGTACAGATGGGCTGAGGCACAGAGACCAGCTAGTATGAGACAGAGCTGGGATTAGTGCCCACTTTTGACTGTCCCCAAAGTTGGGCCCTTGAAGGACCTAGCCTCCATACTCCTGTCTGAAGTCCACTCTCCTGTCTGAAGACAGCCGGCACTGCTGCTGGACAGGAGCAGAGCAGGAGGTGATGAGGATGAAGGGCTTGCTGCACTTGCAGGCAGAATGTGTTGCTGTGATTATTGATCAGGCAACACTGGTCTGTCCCTTGCTGGGGTGCCTGTGACCCTGCCTGGGGATCTCATTCCTGTTTCTCCATCCAGACCATCTGTGGGGCCCAGCTTGTCAAACAACAGGTAAAGATTTGGACAGTCTGGCTCTGACATCTTCCCACAGGCCTGGCAGCCTCTTCCTCTGCCCCAGAGCCCAGACTGGGTCCTTACTTGAGCTGTTTTCCCATGGCGGAGGCTTCAAACTGGGACACATAGTCTCTGCCACTTTCTTTGACTGCATCCAGGTAAACAGTGACAAAATCCTTCACTCGATCCCAAGGGGACTGGGGTTCATCTTGCTGCCAGAAATGCCGAGCCTGGCTCCCTGGAGGTGAGAGGAGAGACCAGATCAGGCCAGCTCCGGGCCAGATCTGAGCTGAAATGCCGAGCGTGGAGCGGGGAAGAGAGGGATGGTGAGAAATTCTGCTCCCTGTGCCCAGGAGGGTGTACCACAAGGGTTTAGAGAGAAGGCCCTCCCCACCCACCATGGCTGCCTGCCTAGGTTGGAGGGGACCTACCTGTCAGGAAGAGCACGGCCAAGGTCAGCACCACAGCTTTCATCCTGAAAGGGCGTGGGTGACCTGGAGGACAAGAGGGGCTGGCTGAGCAGGGGGTCTCTAGCATGCAGGAGCCCTATGCTCCCCCACTCATTCCAGCCAAGGGAGGAGGAGAGACACAGAGGGGGAGATGGCCTCAAGTGCCCAGAGCCCTGGAAGGGGACAGAGCCTGTGCTCCCAGTGCCTAGAGCTGGGGGCCAGAGTAACCTGGAGCAGCCAGCAGCACTTACCTCCTCGAGCTCCGCAGCACTCTGTGGGCGCCAGCTCTTCTCCGGCTATTTATGACTCCAGGCAGGGGATGGGCTGGGAGGCTGATAAGCCCAGCTCAGGCCCTGTCTCCCTGTATCTGCTCACTGATCCTAGCCATGTGGAACTCAGAGTTCAAGGATCAGCTCTGTCCCTGGGGCCAGGCAAATAGAGTGGGCAAACAGGAAGCAGCGGGGGCTGCAGAGCAGGGATCAAGGGTTCAGGTGGGGGCGGGAGGGGAGTGGTCCAGGCTTGTAGGTCCCCAGGGTCCCCTGCCCCCCCTTGGGAGAGTGTGTGCGTGCCATTGTCCGTTGTACCAGTGCAGCAGGAAGAGGAT